ATATATATATATATATATATATATATATATATATATAAAATTAGTAAAATTATATAAAAAATAAAAATTTTTACAAATTTTTATATATATTTTTAATTATTGTATTTAATTTTATTATAATTATAAACATACGAGAAATACTTGATAAACTCAATTAATCATTTTATATCTAATGGTCTTTTAGGTCAAGAGAGATTTGGAAATATGACCAGAGTTTACTACAAGGAAGCCGTAGGCGCTTTCATAGTGTTCGACGTGACGAGAAGTGCAACACTCGACGCAGTGGTGAAATGGAAACAGGACCTGGATTCAAAGGTGCAGCTTCCTGACGGATCGCCGATACCATGCGTTCTGTTGGCAAACAAATGCGATCAGCAAAAAGAAGGTCTGGTTAACTCGCCCACCAAAATGGACGACTACTGTAAAGAGAAGAACTTTTCCGGCTGGTTCGAAACTTCGGCCAAGGAAAACATTAACATTGAAGAAGCAGCCAGATTTCTTGTCAACAAAGTAAAAATTTGTTTTACATAAATCGTAATAAATATAGAAAAAAAACGATTTTCTTAAAAGTGAAATATGACTTAAAAGTAAAACAGAATCTTAAGATATTTTAAATTAAGATATTTTATCGTACAATCGCTCGCGTTTACTACGTTTATTGTTTATGCATGACGTACGATGGATTAATCGTTGACGTCTTCCGTACTATATCTGCTTACGATGCATAATTTTAATCAACGTAAAGCCAATCAGCACCTTTGGCATCTGTATATATCAAACATTCTATTGCTTCGCTTGATGTTTCACCACATATATTGATTTAATTATGACTATTAATAGCAAATATATTGATTATAAAATGTTTATTTCAGATACTTCAAAATGATCAGGTTATAAGAGACAATGGTATTCAAGATCAGATGGATAACGACAGATTCGCGTTGAATCAATCACCAACAGGTTCCAAAAAATCCTGTAGCTGCTGACGAATAAGCAAATTGTCGAATGCAAGTTCGAATTCTCGATCACCGTTTTCAATTCGTCAATTGCAATGTGTCTTTGTGAATGCCATGTGAGAATCATAATTTTTTACGCCTTGCCATTCTCTATAACAGGAAGCATCTATTTGTTCTTGAGCGAGAAACAGTTTTATATGGACATGATTAATCTGCCAATCCGTTTACTATTTCCAGTGATATTTTAAGTAGTTTTAATGTACAGCATAAAAAAGCCATAATTTAAGAATAATAACCAGAAACTTCTTAATATTTATGTAAGCAATGCTTTGAGATGCATAATTGATAACGACTTTGACAATATTATTGATGTGCAATCTTTTTTAATCAGTCTTTTTTAATTAACTGACACGTTATCGCGCAACGATCAATCAATCATAGCAGTTATGGAATATTTCATCTATACTTATAATATTTTCATATTATTAAATATTTTAAAGTATCATTTAAAATAAATAATTATGTATATGTTTATGCATGTACATATTCCAATTATATTTTATTCCATTTTAAGTGATACTTTAAAATGTCTTATTTAAATGTATTTAAATTTATCTCTTTCCAAGATAATTACAGAAACAACATACATAAATATACAGTTTTAAAATCTTTCAAAAATCGCAAAGTTATTAAGAGAATATTTCGAGAAGATATTACTTAATAATTCATGTAATTATCTTAAAATTAAAAATAAATTTATATAAATGTACTTTTTTATTGTGCAATTCGAAATAAAATAATATATAATTCTAATATATACATTTATACATCTTGTATAAATGTATATATTATACATAACGTATTACAGTCAATCTTCTCTTGTCGCGAGAAGATTTTACTTTCTAATGCATTTAGATTTCCTTATGCAATACAAACTCGTTTCAATCGTAACATGATACATACGTACGCTTAAATATTATATCAATATGAGTAGATTTATATAAGCATTGCTTTCTGTCCGCTCAAAATCATGCAAATGACTGTTTATATAACTTACAGTGTCATAATGATAAGAATTAAGAATTTTACATGTGTGTATGATAAAGAATATAATATTTATTGTTATTCGGTTAATCAGTAATATCAATACACACACACACTATGAATTCGACAAAGAAAATATACATTTTGTTTCGTTGTTAGATTTCGTTGTTAGATAGTAATACACTTCCTATCCGTATTTTCACTACGTCCTTGACTTTACTAATTAAATTGAGTTGTCGACAACATTGTGCCTTCATTTGCACAATCGCATCTAGCTTACACAAGACAGTTGATTGTAATTAGAACATTAAGTGACTTACATAATATGCATTTAGATAAATTTATCGGCAGCGTTATAGTATTTGGACTGAAATTCAAGGCGAGAAATGAAAACGAAAGAACTTGTAATCTTTAATCGGGATAAAAGAATAAATGCGGAGATATGTTTTTTAATATAAATTTATAGAAATGTAAGATGTATATTGAGAGCTGCGTATATATGTATACATCATACACTGTAAATAATTCAGATTTTACATCAATGATCTTTACCTTTCGAGCGATGTTCGCATGTTTGCACTTTTATATAATTTGTAATGCGGCGCGTATCTTTATTGCAGAGAAAATATTGTAGATATATACACATATATATACATGTTATTTCCGAAGCATCATATCTAATTCGCTGTTATTATTGAACAGTAATGATAACAATATGCCTGCCTAGCTCCTTTTGTATAGACACACAATACAAGACATAGATAAAAACGATGTTTTATTGTATTAAGCATCAAAGCATGTTATTGAAACCTCCCTTCTCTCTATACATGTATTATTATTCTACTATTATTCTACTATATAATTCTAGAGATTAGCGGGTCTAATTACTAACCTACCTAAACATAACCCAATCATAAATACCTACACGACTTTAGATAACGATGATAAGAAATATTAAGGAATAGAGAACGGAGATAGTGAACAGCAAAGATTTGTCAGAGATTCAAGTGATATTAATGTGCTTCTAAAAACGTGAAATGAATAATTTCGATGATTCGGTCGAGATGACATCCAAATTTTCTCAGCTTTTTTGGGAAAACTTGACTGTTACTGTGTCTGTCAAAGATGACAAGTGTTCAAGAAAACCGTGGTACAAATTTTCGCGCAGAAAATCAATGAAATTGGATATACTAAAAGGAGGTAATTTTTTTCCTGTTTTATCAATATTGCAAAGTGCAAATTTATATCTGAATCAACTAGTCAAAGATCAACTGACCAACTGATTCTATGATTCACCAATTTAAGCAACATTTTTATTCATTGATAAAGATATTTTATGTTAAGTGTCCGGATATGCAGAGACTGGTAACATGTTCGCTATATTGGGACCGAGGTATTGTATATAGATATTATATACATATATTTTTTGTATTTATTTTTGTCTCTTAAGCTCATGAGTCATTGAAGCACAAATAATTTCTCTAGTGGTGCCGG